CACTAGGCTAAAGTAGCTATCTATTTATATAATTCCTTATTATCCTTTTACTACTAAGAACACTAGACTAGCTTTTTATTTATTACTAAGATAAAGTTAAAATCTAGCTTTAACTTAGTTAACTTTTCTTTTATATAGACCTAGCTAATATTAACTTATTTCTACTTCTAGGTAAGTAACTTTACTTTTTACTCTTTATACTTTAGCTTTTACTAGAGGTATAGGTTTAGTTAGTTAAGTAGCCTTCTCCTAGTAAAGATAGTTATAATAAGATAAGCTATACTATATTCTTTAGCTTACTATAGAGAGATACTATAATCTTTAGATTAAGAATCTAGTAGTATAGATTAGAAGAAGATATCTTTTAAAGATACTACTAGGGGTATACCTCTTACTTACTAAAAGCTACTAAATTAAGTATCTTAGTAAAGATCTTATAGTAGTATAAGATACTAAGCTTAGTTAAAATAGTATAGTCTAGACTATATTCTTTAATAAAGTCTAGGAATAGTCTTTTACTAAAAGGTATTATCTTCTTTATTAGCTAGTATTATTTTCTAATTAACGCTAAATACTTTAAGAAAAGCAGTATATAAAGTTTACTAAAGAGCTTAAGGTAAAGACCTATATACTTCTAGTGTTAAAGGACTTTATTCTTTATATATACTTACCTAAAGTATAGCTCTTAGTTACTAATTATATCTTATATAATATTAATAAGTTAATATAGGTAACTAAGACTATTTAAGAGATAACCTTTAATATTATTATTACTTAATTCTATACTAGAGGTAATATAAACACTAAAGTTTTAGTATTTTTAGATAAAGTAGTAAGCCTACTATACCCTTAAGGGTAAGTATATTATATATAAGTACTAGAGGATTAGGCATTAGTTAATAAACTTTTTATAAAGCTTAGTCTAAGCTTCTTTAAAGGTATACTTAGTCTTAGTAAAAATAATAAGCTTCTATATTATTAGGACCTTATAATATATATAAGGGGGAGGCTTATCTACTAGTGTAGTAATATAGGCCTAGTCCTTATTACTAAGCTAGGCTATTACTTATATTATTAGCTAATAGGCCTTATTATTAGACCTACTACTATTACTACTATAGGTATAGTCCTTAAGCTACTTCTACTTAGCCTTAAGTATAATATTAGAATTAATATAGTAAATATAGAGTTATTACTAGACACTAGAGAACTACTTATTTAGTATAGCCTTTATTTATTTATTATAGTCTATAATAATAATAGTAAGGTAATAGACTAAGTGTTAGTCTATAAGTTAGTAAATACTTACTAAGAAAAACTAGAAACTTTTTAGCTATTTATTATTAATAAGGCTAAATATAGTGTTATAAATAGACCTAAGGTAAGTCTATCTAGTAGCCTAGAAGAGTAGAAGTTTAAAGTAATTAGTATTATAAGTGTTATTAAAACTAATTACTTTAGGGAATTACTTTTATATTTAAAGATAGTAGAGAAAGGTCTAGATAAGGCTAATAAGTTAGTCTAGCTTATTTTTTATTTACTTTACTATATATAAGATATTTTACTTATTAAATAGCTTAAGTAAAGCTATAGTAAGTAAATACTTATCTAGCTTCTCTTAGTTTATATAAGCTTTAGTGTTATAAATATTTTACTAGGTAAATAAGAAATCTAGGAACTACTCTTAAATAATAGCGTATATATTATATACCTAGATACTAACTTATTAGCTTATTATATTAATAGTGTCTATTATAGGCTAAGTTACTTTATAATAAGAAAGATATATAAATACCCTAAGGCTAAGACTATAGTTATACTAACTATACTAAGAGTCTAAATAATAATATAATAGCTATTACCTCTCTTAAAGAGCTTCTATAATTACCTACTATTTATAGCTATTTTTTTAGGACTTATATTATTAAATACTAGCACCCTCTATAGGCCTAGGCTTACTAAACTAATTATATTAGATAGTGTATTATATAACCTAGCTATAGTACTAATATTTATACTACTTTATAATACTAAATCTATTAGCCTTTATAAAGGTATTAACTTAATTAAAAAGGGTATTAAAGGTTTATTCTAGATTACTAAGAATTAGTAGATTTAGGATTTTACTTATAGGAGAAAAAAAGATCTATTACTTTAGGTGTAGTAAAAGGCTATAGTTTAGAAAAAGGCTTTACTTTAAGGGGAAAGTTATTATTAAAGTAGTAAATAAGGTAATAGATTAGCTTAAAGACCTTATTATTCTTACTATTAATAAATATACTTTTATTATTAGAGAAGTACTATTATTAGCTACTAATTAGTCTTAATAACCTATTAAATAAGATTAAAAGTACTATTAAACTACTATATAGTAAAATAAGAAGGTTATTAGGACTACTTATAAGGAAGCAAAAGGTTATACTCTAGAGAAAGTTAAAAAAGAATAGTCTACTAAGTTTTTATTATCCCTTTAGGGAAATAGTAAGTAAAGTAAAGTATTAGCTTTATACTAAGGTAATATAGTTTATAGTATAAAAGAAGTTATATATCTTATAGTAAGCTTAATAGGAGCTTAGCTATAAGGTTATACTGCCCCTTAGGATTACTAGCTCTATAGAACTAGCTAACGCTAGGACAGCTACTTTTAGAGGAGGAAGATAATAGTAAGTAGCTAGATAATAGTAGTAAGTTATAATTAATTACTAGTTACTCTCTTAAGATATAACCTATAGTAAGAAGGTAAAATAGTTATATTTTATACTATAGAATATATTATAAAGCTATAGTAAGTAAATACTATAGATAAACCTAAGGTTAAATAAATTAACCTTATTATAAAGAGGGATATTATAAAGAGAGATAAGAAAGAGAGGGCTACCTTGTGTAGGTCTAGTAGAATTTAGTTACACTAATATTTGTTTTTTAGACTAATTAGAGAGCGTATATCTTATGCCTATATAAGACTTATGCCTATATATTAATTCCTTATGCCTATATATTAATTCTTATAAATAGATAATATAATTAGCCTTATAAATAGTAAATTCTCTACCTATAAAGAAAAAAAGCTTAAGAAGGCTACTTTTATAGTAAAACCTAAGTAGTTACTTATAGCTAATAATTTTATTACCTTTAATAGTAGTATATTATCTATTACTACTAATAGTAAGCTTACCTTTTACTAAAAAGGCTAAGGTAAAAAGCTTTAACTTATTAATAAAAAATTACCTACTACCTAGTAAGATTATATTTAGTAATATACCTATAGTATATATATTACTTTTATTTATTAACCTAAAGCTTACTTTAACTATTTAGTTACTACTTAATACTAATTACCTATAGTAAAAGAGATTAAAGCTTTTAATTACTAAATTAAGTAATAAGTTAATAACCTTAACTATAGCCTATAATTCTTACTAATTAACCTTATAACTACTAAGCTTTTTATATTTATTAATAGCTTATTTATAAATAACTATAACTTTACTTTTTAACTTAGCTTTATTATAGTTCTTACTAATAAATAAATTATTAAGTAACTTACTACTAATAGTAAAAGCTTTAAATTAACTAGTAATATTATTTACTTTAGCTTAATAAAGTATAAAAGAGTTATATATAGTATACTTACCTCTAAGGTCTATAAAATAGTTACTAGTACTAATGTTACCTATATAATTAGTACTACTCTTATAATAATTACTAACTACCTTAAGCTACTATAAATACCTATAATACTCTATACTAACTTATACTTACTTTATAAGTACCTTATAAAGCTTAGTACTATAAAAGAGAAGTAACTTATAATAAATATTATAGCCTTTTACTAGTTATATAAATACTATAAGATTTATAAGATATAATAGATTTATAGTAGTAATAACCTAGTAAATAGATTTATAAAGTTATTACTAGATAATATATTAAAGAAGCTAGTTAATAATAAGTAGTTAGAGATATAAATAAATAAATAGGTTTTTTATATATAATAAACTATATAAGTAAAAAGTATTAAATACTTTCTAGCTTTTTATTTTTATTATATTTTTTAGCTATTCTTTTAAATATAAATAATAGGGGATTTTTAGTACTATAGAAAGTTACTAGTATTATAATATTAACTATTATAGATAAATATTAGAGTTATTAGGTTAACCCTAATGACTTATTACTAGTAAATCCTTAGATATTTAGCTATAGATTCTCTAAGGATTTATAGGTAATAAGTTAGGTATTTAACTAACTAACCTATAATAATTATCCTTCTTTTCTTTATATATAATAGAGAACTATAGTTACCCTTTATTATTTATTAATTACTACTAATATATATAGTTAACTATATTTACCTATCCCTTAGTGTTACTAACACTTATCCCTTAGTGTTACTAACACTAACCTTATATAATTATAAGATCTTTAGCTAAGGCTCTTTAATAATTAATTTAATACTAAAATTATATTTTTACATAATATTATTATTATATAAAGTTCTTAACTTATTAAGGTCTAATATATATTATATTACTTTTATTTAAGAGTTTATTAGCTATATTTATATATGCTATTATTATAAAGGAAACCTTTAATTAATTAGATTAATAATCTTCTTAAGAATTACTTTTTTTTTACTTTTATTATCTTCTTTAATTTTAACTATATCTTATCTTATATAATATATCCTATATATTAGTAATAAAGTATTATATAAAGGACCTTAAAGATAGTAGCAACTTTTAAGTTAGATATTTTTAGTTCTTTTTTTATAGCTTAGAAAGTAAAAATAATATAGTTTTTAATTAGAGAGGATTATATATTTATATATAAAGAAATATTAGTATAAAGGTTAAAAAGATAAAATAAGAAGAAACTAGTCTACTTACTATAATTATTTACTTACTATATATATACGTTAGTATAAAGATAATAATAGTAAAAGGAAAATAAATATATATAACTTATTATATATCTATATTAACTAAAATAATTATTTAGTGTTATTATAAAATATCTTATTATATATAGTTAATCTTATACTAAACCTTCTTAGGTTTATAATATAGGAGGGGCCTATTTCTGCCCTTGTAGTTATTTAAGCGTAGGTAGCTACGTTGGCGTAAACTTGTCGTCGTTGCCTAGTATTCTTGCTATATATTGCATGTAGCCCCTCTTGCTGAATGGCAACTGATTGATAGGTGTTCTATCTGGGTCTTGAGCTTTCTTGTAGTCATTCCGGTCTCCAGCTCGTTGCACCCAACTTTCAGATGCTGCTTTAAGCCTGTCTAGATTGGCACGGGCTGCTGTCGTCCCTCCAAGGAAACGAACGTCGGTGTTTTGAAGGTCCCAGGCACCTTTCCAAGGTTGGGATCCCCATACCCAGTGGCCCGGTGTTTTCCATCTTTGTGGTTCCAACCCTTGTGCCGGTATTTCTCCCTTTGGCGGTATCCAGCTTGCGCTGTATAGCCTGGCTGTGTAGTCCAAGGTCGTTGATTGTAGGCCAACCCTGTTTCGTGTTTTACTGCTGCTAATATAGCCTACAATTAAGCCCCATTGCTCTGCGATTGGTCCATGTCCGCGTATGTGGAAGGAAAGTACGTAGAAGTGGTTAGGAACCAGCTTTGCAGGCCGTCTTGAGTATTTTACTTCGTCAGCGAGTTGGTTATAAAGCGCTGTTGTTTTGGTACCCCGGGCTTGAATCTCGCCTTGGCCTGGCTGATGAATTGAAGAAGCCAAGCTTAGAACAGCCAGCATGTAGAAGCTGATAAACGTGAGGAGCATTATAATCAATAGAATATGGGTGGTATAAGAGAAATAGGAGAGGCTGAAAGGTCCTAAGTCCTATGTAGACCAAAGTAATCACTTAGCTTATATAGTACAGACCGCCTCTACACTAGAATAAGAGTTCCACGGTAACAATATAGTTGGAATTATTATAACTACTTATTTTGTGATCACAATAGTTTGTTAGAAAAACAAACGGTAGTGGCGGCTGCCAAGACAACGGCGATGGCGACGGCAATGCCGAGTCTGTAGACTAACAAAAGCCTAGGGCTGGATTTATAGTGGGTCCCAACCTTATCTACTCATTAGCAGGGAGGCGCAGCTGCGCTAGTCCTCCTATTTTTACCTACTAATATTGTTTTAATAAGGTTGCATAAGATTAAATAATGTAAATTAACATACAAGAAAACATTACATAATTAATCTGTTTTCTTCTGCTTGAAGGTGATCTGGGATTGCTATTATCCTTGCTTGTGTTTATCTGCAAGTATGATTCTTTACTATAATATTGGGCTACAGTTAAAGCCCCTCAGCAGGCACCAGTGGGGAAGAGACCGTTACCACTTAGCACATAATTAAAAGACCGGAAGATATCAATGCTATTTACCTATATAACTAATTAACCCTGACTTATGTCGTACAGCTTTACTGAGTTCTAACTTAGCAAAGAAAAGCGAACCCACTACAACCACTTAGAACCAATTTATGTCCCCGCTAGATGAGATTGATTATCAGTACCTACGGATAGTAGCCACCTAGAATTTAAATATGCACTCATTCAGATAATAAGATAGATCTGTAGTGTTAATAATCGTATACCTGTGTCATACAGTACATTACACCTCTAACCCCGGATTGATTCGGTCTTGTTTGCCGTGATGCACCGTCCCGCGCCATATCGTCCGTCTGTCAGAAACATCACCGCGGAAGGGTCGGACCCGATGGACAGACTGACAGCAAGCATATTGTCGTCCGCAGACTGACGCCTCGCTTTGTATTTCTCTCCTCCGTTCGACCACTCAGCAGATAGCACCCGCCCGACCTTGCCATCAAATTGATCCAGAGCCTGCATCACGATGGAAGTGTGAGGAGCAATGGTCATGAGAATTTGTCTGGCGCATGTCATGTGGAACGGACCACCTGCGCGTGGGGGTCTGCGCCCGCCAGGGTTGTAAAAAATACTACTAGTATTTAGTATACTAATACTAGACTTAAGTATACTTAGTATTAGTATAGGAAAACTATACTAACCTTAGTATTAGTAAGTATTAGTATAGCCTCTATTAGTATTAGTATTACTTAAGTATACTTAAGTATACTAATAAGTAAGTAAAAATAAATAAAAATAAATAAAAATAAGTAAAAAGAAATAAAAAAGAAATAAAATAGTTTTAAAATTTATAAGTAATATTTAAATAATATATAAAGTATATATAAAATTTAAATAATATTAAAGATATATATATAAGTATTAGAATATAAATATATATAACGTATATATATAGCAAGTGGCCTATTATAGCGAGTGGCCTAGTTCCTTATCGCATAGAAAACCCCCCTTTTTTAACTATTTTTTAAAAAGCGAATCTATAAATAAAAAAGGTCTAGTCTTCTGTATTATATAACGATAAGAGTTAAATTATAGAAAAAAATACTATAGAAATTATTATTATACCCTAACCCTGTTTTCCTTTGTTACTCTTTATCGCTCTTTACCGATAAGGCTTAATATTAAAGTACAGGGTTAGGGTTACATAATAATTTCTAGAGTATTTTTTCCTACTTTCTAACTCTTATCGACACCTGTATACAGAGTTACATAAGTTTTAGATAAGATTTAGATTTTTAAAAAATAGTTAAAAAAGGGAGGTTTTCTATGCGATAAGGAACTGGGCCACTCACTATGATGGGCCACTTGCTATGCATATACGTTATTAAACTATATTAATACTTATATTTTAAGTCTAGGATATTATATATAAAAGTACTAATATATATTATAATACTAAGCTAAGTATTATTTAATAATAGTAGTATAAGTATTATAATATATATATTATAAGTATAAAATATATTTTATAGTTATAGGCTATATATAATAAGTAAACTTTATTTATATATATATATATATATATTAGTATAAACTAATAAATTAATAAATATTCTTTAGAATTAAAGTACTTATATAAGTATAAATACTTAATTTACTATTATTTAATAATAATAATTATAGTAGTATAAATTAAGTAATACCTTAATAAGTTATACTTAATACCTAAAGTTATTATTAGACTTAAAATATATTATAAAATTAATAAAGTATATCTCTTAAGTATTAAATATACTTTATAAACTTAAATATAAGACTTATAAGTAATATAACTTAAACTTTAATCTTAACCTTAACTATAATATAACTATAAGAAATAAAGTTATATATATAAAAATACTTTTATTACTTATAGAAAGATATACTTTTTATATATAATTTATAGCCTTATACAGACTAATTAAGAGTTATTTTCTCTAAAGTACTTAACCTTTAAAAATATTAAGATATTAAGAGATTAAAAAGATCTAGGTTAAAGTAATAATATAAGTTAGTCTAGGGTACTATTAATAAGGTTACTTAACTTAGATAAAATAAACTAAAACTAGTTTTAATAATACTATTATATTAATAGATTAAAGTTTTAAACTACTACTAACTATATAACTATTACTATTATAAAAAGATAATATATATATTATAAAAGATTAATATATACTAATATAAAAGAGTATAGTAAGTATTATTTATTATATACAAAAGAAAAAAACTACTAGAACTAGTTTTTATTATTTTTATTTTTTAAAAAATAATATACTTATACTTATTAATTCTATTCTTTTGTTTACTTATTTAATTATTTATATATTATTTTTTACTTACTTAATGTTTTTTATAGATTATACTAAATATTACTTATAAATAATACTAATACTTTAAAGTCCTAAGTGTATTTTCTACTTTTAATTATACTTTATATTTTATAACGTTAAAGTATTTTTAAAACTATAAGAAAAACTAAAAGATAATATATATAAGTAGTATATAAAACTAAAAGATATATAAAGTAATTATATACTAAGTTTTACTTAATAAAGTAAACTTAAGAAAGTAAACTTAGTAAATATAAAGTATCTTTATAATAATAAGTTATAATTAAATACTATAAAGTATACTTACTACTTAGTAACTATAAAATATACTTTATTTCTATAAGCTATACTTAAACTTATAAAATAAACTTAGTAACTATAGATAATACTTAAAACTATAAAGTATACTTAGTAACTATAACTAATACTTAGAACTATAAAGTATACTTAATACTTATAAAATATACTTTATAACTATAAGCTATACTTAAATCTATAAGATATACTTTATACTTATAAGCTATACTTAAAACTATAAAGTATATTTATAACTAAAAGAATACTTATAACTATAAAATAAATTAATTAATAATTATAAACTATATTTACTAACTATAACCTATACTTAAAACTATAAAGTATACCTAGAGTATATATAATATACTTAGTAACTATATAAGATACTTTATAAGTATAAACTATAATTAGAACTATAAAGTATAGTATATACTATTAGTAATACTATAATATAATACTTCTATATAAAGACCTTACTTTTTCTTTTTCTTAACTTTTAATATTAACTATTTAAGCTACTACTTTATTTTTATTATATTTAACGCTTATACTTAAACTCTTTTATTAAAAAAGATTATAACTATTATTAAAAAAAATAGATTCCTTTATAGAAGATTCTACTACTTCTTCTAACCCTCCTCCTCCTTTTCCTAGTAGTATTATTAGTACTAATACTAATATTAGTAGATCTAACTTTAAAGACTCTATATATAATAAAGAAGATTATAAGTTAGAGAATACTAGTATTTATATATTTACTAATAACTTATTTATACGTACTTTATTACCTATTAATCTTAATAAAGAAAGACAAATATTAGTTAAGTGTACTACGTAAGTATTATTTAATATATATATATATATATATTATTTACTTTACTAATAAACTATTTACTCTAGATGTAATAAAGAGTGGAAATCTAATATAAACGGGTTTTTAAGCTCTAATTATGTTAAACACTATAAACAATATCACCCTACTATAGCATATAATAAAGAAATAGAAAAGACTTTAAAGAAAAGTAAGTTATATACTAGTATTACTATATATATATATATATATATTATAATTATTTAAGACTTTACTAATTTATATACTATAATAGAAAACGATATTTTACCTATTAGAGATAATTTCTTTAACTTACATAATAGAAAAAGAGCTAGAGTTAGTAGCTCTATAGGCTTTAATGAAGATGAGGCCTTATTAAAAGTATTACACTTTATTATAGATAATAACTTATCTTTCTCTATATTAAATTCTAACTCTTTTAAAGAGTTATTATTTTATTATAATAGGTATCTTTATCTTATAACTACTTATATATATATATATATATATATATATATATTATACTTATAATTATATATAACCTATTACTAACTACTATTTAGGTCTAGCCCTATTATTAATAGAGTTAAACTTAAAGATCTATTAGAGAAAACCTTTATAAGATACTTAAGTATTATTAACTTAGAAATAGAAGATAATATTAAAAGTCTAGGGACTTTTTCTTTAACTTTTGATATTTGGACTTCTAGATCACAAGATGCCTACTTAGGAGTTATTATAAGTTATATTAATAAAGATTTTCAACTTATATATAAGTTAATAAGTAAGTTAAAGAAATAGTCTTATATTTAGTATTTATTAAGTTATATATAAATATATATATATATATATAGTATCTATATTTAACTATATAACTTATGTTTTAACTTATATACTCTATACTAACTTAATCTAGGTTTTAAAGAACTTAATAGTTCACACTTAGGTATATATATATATAAAGAGTTTATTAACTCTATAGAGCTATACTCTAGTCTATCTATAAAGAATATCTTTAGGTAAGTTTTCTTAATATATTTTAATATATATATCTATTTATATATATTATTATATATATTTACTTATATGCATTAATATATCCTTATATTAAATACTAAT